ACATACATACATACATACATACATACATACATACATACACACCAACACACATACACACAGACAGACATACACACATACATACATACATACATACATACATACGTACATACAATGTGACGATATATTGTAGAGTTGTCAAGAGTCTACTAGTAAAACAAACAAAAATTCTTTGACTTTGGGGATACTTGAGCTATGCATACCAGGCTCTAGATTCTAGATTCAGGAAGAGGCTGATTCGAGCGTAGTCCTAACCTGGGGCCAGTTCCCAACTTCCTATTCAAAGTGGCTGGGTCAAGAATAGACACAATCTTTGATAAATGCACACATCAGTGAAAACCACAGGTGCAGCAGCCTTCAACCAAGGCAGTGGAGCCAGTTTGTTTTCGAGGAACTGCGAAGACAGAACACAGAAGATCGAACCTTAAATTTGCATAGTTACTTGAAAACTTTTTGTTTTTTGGCTTTGATTTGTTTGCTACACAGGCCGCATGCCACAGCAGTCACAATCTTGGAATGGATGGTTCAAACTTTGATGTGCAATATTTTGTTTGTGAGGCGATACATATGGTTCAATGTGCAATACTAGTTAAAGCTAGTTCGAAGGAGTTGGGTGTCGGGAGGCAAGCCAACTTGAAAAGCTCGCCATGCCTCTTTCTTTTTTTCATGCCAAAGAGAAGGCCTGTTGTTCATCGTCTTTCAATCTCTGTACTCCCAAGGCCAGATACGAACCTGGTGGTGAACTTAGACTGAAATGTCAGAATGCAAGTCTGGTATGATCTATGATCAGGACACTTGCCCTGAAATTGAAGAGAAACACAGACAGCTATTTTTTTCCTGTCAAGGCAGTACTGCCAACTATAGGGTCCCGTTTGGCCGTGACAGACATTCTTTTTGACTAGATGGTTGGTCAACGCAGAAGCTATATATATATATATATGTAAGGATAAAGATATGGTCAGTCTCATATATTTGTGAGTTCTTCACCGTCATGTGAGGCCTCTCAGCAGATGATGCGCATGCAGCAGATGTCCCAGCCCCCGCAGCCTCCGCAGCATCCACCGAAGCTGCAGGGTGAGAAGGAGGTCGAACAGTCAAACTGGCAAAGAATGTGAAAGTTATTATTGGGTCAAACAAACAGCCTTGAATTTGATCACTAAAGTCGAAGTACTGTGGCTTTGTTATCACGGCAAGGGGGTTGCACATACCTTGCAGCTTGACAGGCCCCCCAATCTGCAAGCCAAGATCCTAACAACTTTACCTTCGAGGCCCAGTTTTACGACCCAGTGGTTCGCATTTTCAGCTTTAGATGTTTGAGCCTTGCAGGTCTACTTGCAACGACTAGAAGGAATGAGGCGGCAATGAAACCGGGGACGAACCATTGTGTTGATTGCAATGAAACCAGATGATAGATCATATAGCAAATGTGCAAAGTTTTTGGAGGCTTGGTCTGAGCGTGCTTCCTGTGACGATTCATGATGTAGCTGCTTTGTGGGTCTTGGACTGAGGATGTATATAATGTATATATCAGTTGGTCCATCAACTCACCGCACTTTTGGATGTCAAGGGGAGTTGTGTGGAAGTGGTGGTGTAATTGGCTGGATCAAGGTCAATGATGTGTCAGAAGGCGGTGCAGTGGATGCCTGGAACAAGTCCGAAACTTAATCTGCTTTGACCTGGAGACCATTGCGTACCGCTGGTCGCTGTTAAGGTCAGTATGTGCAGCATTCCATGTTAGAAGCGGCGATGCCGGGTGCCGCAGCGTCATATCTGTGTCAACCTTGCACTTGCACCGTCGGCGTTCAATATTGGCTATCCGAAAGTTGGGGCTACAACAGGCGCACACAGGTTCTTATTCCCTGAAGAGTGGGGAAACGTGCACACACACTTGAGACAAGCAACAGCTGAGTGACTAAGTGACTGCACTCCTCAGGCCATCACAAGAGTTTTTGATGCTGCTGGAGACCATGCCAAGATGATGGAGGACCGCGCAGATCGATAGAGTTACGCCTGCAAAGGCATGATTCCTTTAATTTGTTGTGGTAGTTCTCCCAAGAACGTACGAACTTGACATGCAGACACTGCATACAGATTTCATGAGCATGAGCTAATCATGATTCCGCTGCACTTGTGGCAGTGCTATCGGGCAGGTACTTCAAAGTCATCGCAACATTCGCCTTGTAGGGCACCGGGTGAAACAAACAGACACAACGACTGCTGCCAAGTGGTCCTCAAAATGTGTGTGCTGAGATTCGTCACATTCAAAACAGCGATAATTGAATACGCAGAGTCTGACTTAGGCTGTGCTCCGACAAGGAGGCAGCGGCGCCCAGCAGCAACCTCCGTGGTCATCTCAGCGTGTTCTCTAAAGACAACCACGGAAAGCTACCTAGGCCAGATGAATAGAAGCAAAAGGATTGTTTGAAGTTTGAACTTGCTTGGAACCAGTGGAAAGCAGGTCATGTTTCTTTAATCACGAAAGGTAGCGGTTACGCTACCTGAGTTGTCTTTGCTTTAGCAATAATGTATTGGGGGTGGTGAAGTGCTCCGGCGCTTGATTTCGGTCGTTTAAGAGTGGGTTTTAAATGTCAGGGGGCCCCCCCCCGTGTTTGTAGGGTCCTAGGTCCCCCTAGGCGTGTCTACGCTATACGTGTGTAGCACCTGTTCTTCGTAGATAGATCTTGTATATATCTCTTCAGTCAGCTTCCGCTGTAATTCATTTGGCTCAAGACTTTGAAGCCCAATACTGCACTCCGTGCCATAGAAAAGGTGTGCATCGCTGTCGCTCGCACACTCACTTGTCATTGTGGCCTTACTTGGTGTATTCGATCAGGTCCAGTAACTCTACTGCCACTCTTGGGGGAACTTACCCCTCAAAGTGGTAGCGGAGCTTGTGTCTCCTGCTTCGCCACGGTCGATTTTGCATTCGTGCAGAACCGTCCGACATTACGGACAGGAGACAACCAAGTAGACCACCTGTCTGAAGAGTAGAGACCATGGTCCAGATCTTTAACATAGATACGGACGAAGAACAAGAGTACAGTCATTTGGAAGTGTGAGATCCAGAGGAAGCATTCGCTGCGCAAGGTTCGAGATACCGTTCCCAGCAGGTTCAACATTCCGGACGTATGAGACACAACCAGCACCAGGTGTCAAAATGACGCCAAAGATTCCCCCGTCCTTCGATGGACAGTCATCTTGGTTCGAGTTTGAAGATTTGATTGATGACTGGGTAAACATCACTGCCCTAACAGCAGAGAAGCTTGGTCCTTCGCTAAAGAATGCATTGACCGGAAACGCAGAGTATTACAAGAAAATGCTTGACAATGAGCAGCTTCGCCATGAAAGAAACGGCATTACGTACTTTAAGGAAACGCTGCGTCCATACTTTGTCAAGGGAGCAAATCATGTTTTTCTCTGGCGTTCACGCAGCTCTTTAGGACCTGGCGCGGAGACGGGGAATTTGTCAGTTGCATCGCACGTTTTGAAGTTGCAAGTAAGAAAGTCATGGAAGCCTTCATGGGCCTGCTAGATCTTTCGACTGTTCCACAGGCTGATGATTTCAACTTTGTTGATATCCTCTCGCAACAGCAGTACTTACTACTTCAAGGACTTCAAGATCCCACAGAAAGAAGAGAAGCTGCAGAAAGGATTCGTGCTGAACACATTTATACCATGAAACAAGCACATCGTGACACTTGTCCACTGTCTGACAACCTGATGTCGCTTATTTTCTTAGTTCAGTCCGACCTCAATGAACAGCAGAGAGAAAGGTTTGTAGCCACTATGACTATGGCCTTGCGTCAGATCAACACGAACAACTACACGTACGTAGGTGTCAAAGGCTTATTCCTTGACCTCTTTTGCGGAACCGCCGCAGGAACTGCCGATCTTCGATCCGCAGGCAGAGAAGATCCACTTTCCTTGTCCTCGATGAAGGAGGTTTGGAGGATGAATTCGGATACTGGGTGATGGATCAGGAAACAGGCGAGGAAGGATTCGTGAGTTTGTTCTCAGAATCTGAATTTTGTGTGGTGGCAGCCAAAGGACGAATACACCCGTAAAGGAATCCACGGAAGAAGGTTCAGAAAACCACCCAAACGCGGCAAAGGAAAAGTCCGCGGGAAAGGAAGAAGACCCGGCTTTGTCAGCCGCAGAGGCAAAGGTGCAGGGGCGCACTATGCAGAGTACCCTGACAACTCAGGTTTCTATGGAAAAGGCAAGAAAGGAAAGAAAGGTGGAAAGAAAGGTTTCAAAGGAAAAGATGCATTCAAAGGCAAAGGAAAAGGCAAGCGACAGAATCAATTGCAGCAATCCAATGCAACCACCGATGAGCCTTCAACAGCTCAGTCAAATCCTAATGCCGAAGAAACCTGGAGTGCACATGAAGCAAGTTGGTCATGGGACTCATACGGATACCACACAGACCAGTACTATCCATAAGATGTCTGGCAGGCAAATGAAGCCACTTGGCAACAATGGACATACTACGCGGACGGACAGACGGACAGACCGCGAAATGAAGAGCGCAATAGCTCAGAGCCAAGGCCCGACCAGCAGAACCAGTCAACAGATATCCGATATTCCGGACATCGCGCAGAGGAATTGACTGGTGAAGAACATGTTTCACATCAGTATCGCCTAATCCCTGCCGGTAGTAAGGAAGACTACCGACATTCCGGTTGTTCTGATGTGATTGATCCACGCTTCTGTTCAGCATTTGCCAACTTTGACGATGGATTTCACCATGCGTTGCTCTCTGAGTATGTCGACTTGAGGTACAGCCCGACCTACGTGATCATCGACAGCGGCTGTGCACGAGCAACGGGTTCAACGACCGCCGTCATGCGTCTGCCGTTTGCGCGCCATGAAGGACCTTGTCCAGGGCGGCGGGTCCACAGGACATGCTGCTATGGATCGCATCATCCTTGAAGGGTCGGGAAAATACCATTACAGCAATCACCCGACATACCCTTAGAAAACGATTCCCTCAGTTTTCGAACATTGGAATAAGCAACTCGAGATCGCGCCGTACCCGATCATTCGCCCAAGCTGCTATTACGACTCTCGCCGTCGATATTCCGACGAAGAGATGAGACAGATCGTCGAGCTCAGCTGTAGCTATATGCAGGGCTACCGTGCCAATCAGGGAGACTTCGATCTCGACGAAGCAAGACTTCTCCGATCAACAGAACACGTTTCGGTCTTGCTGCTCAACCTGGGCGATATCAATCGGCTGCCTCATTTTAACGGCAAGCAGCGATTGCCCCAGCAGCTCGCAGATACGGTTCAGTACACTGTTTTGCCGCACTTTTTGGTCAGGAACACGGCGCGTGTTACGATCCTTCTCGAGGCAAGTGGCTTAGAACGACACCGTGAACTTTTTCGCCAATACCAACGAATGTGTGTCGTCGCCCTGCCCGATGGTGAGTCTCATCCCATCGCCTGCGTGTGCTCCACAGACGGTATGACGTCTAGGTTGGAGTTGATTCGACGCATCGAGCTCGAGGGCGAGCGTCTCAGTTGGCTCGCCCATTGCGCGACATTCCGCGTGATTTGGGGCAAAGTAGATGAAGGCACTCACGGCGGTATCACCACAGACAAAGGAGTCAGAAAGAACGTCCGCCAAGCTCTATAGAAGAGGGCGAAGAACTAGCGGAACGCATCGAAGCCATGGTGTGTCCTGATGTCTTATAGGTGTTGCACAGGGAGTCACTACCTTTCGTCAGGCAGATCCAGTCGATGCTGAGGCATTGTTCCACGAATGTCCTGCTTGCAGGACAGGAAGCCTGAACGACTGCAAGCGCATGCGTTGCCAGAACTTCGAGTTTGCGCTTTCCATCATGCGTTTGCAGCCGGTATTGCGGCAGGCAAGAACGCCCTCACGAAGATCCTAATCACCGCTGTGGCGGATCAGGTGGACGTCATCGCGCGCGACGCGAATATGTTCACGAATCGCAACTTTCGGTCCGATCGTCATTCCGATCCGGCGACCGGCGCTGTCCTTACCATTCTTGACCAAATTCTTGTTTCAGCGAACAAAAGGCGCGAGCCAAGCAAGCGGATTACATACAACTGGGAGGTCTCGACCCTCGCCACTGAACAGCTCGCAGCCTTGGAAGGTCAGAATGCCGATTGCGACTGCTTATTGCAGATCGCCCTCAACTACGGCAAGGACATGCGCGCGTTGCGAAAGAGGTCATCCGATATTCCGGAAGACCGTGGCAGAGTCGGCTATGAAGGACCGCCTTGGCAGAAAGAAACGACCGTAAATATTAACGAGTTTTTGAAGCACCTCAACCACCTAGACTTTTGTCTCAAGTCAAGCGACGAGGGCTATCATCACCCTTTTCAGTGTAACTTCTCGTTAGGAAGTCGTTCCAGTGTTCGAGTGCGCGGTGAAGCTTCGGAAGCCCACCGACAGCAAAAGCCAAAGGAGCGTTTGGAGCGCTTGAAGAATCAAAGACAGCAGCAAAGGCAACAGGGCTGGCGGTCCTCAAGCGCTAGCTCATCATGGTGGGAGACCGGGAACTCCTGGAGTTCCGGATACCGAGGCCACCGTAACTGGTAGACAAAGTCTACGGCAAGCCGACACTCCGGCTAGTGAACATATAACGAGTTGCATCAAATAGAGACCCAGATAAACTTCCAGCATAAAGCCTTTAATGATTCGATTTCGATTTAGATTTAATGACTGGAAAAGACTTGAATAAACTTCCGGTGTTACGGAAAGTTTGACATCAAAGATTTGCCTTTCGTAGATTTGTATAGATGATCTGACGCAATAGATAATGGGCCAGAATGGCGTCTACGGTCAAGCTCTGCGAAGCCGGAACTTCTGTAATTCACTTGCATTCTTTTGCTCCTGCAAGCTTTTGTACTTTAGCGACTTGTAAGCTTCGACGCGAAGAACATTTGTGTCTGTTTTGTGTTTGTAGGGTCCTAGGTCCCCCTAGGCGTGTCTACGCTATACGTGTGTAGCACCTGTTCTTCGTAGATAGATCTTGTATGTATCTCAGTCAGCTTCCGCTGTAATTCATTTGGCTCAAGACTTTGAAGCCCAATACTGCACTCCGTGCCATAGAAAAGGTGTGCATCGCTGTCGCTCGCGCACTCACTTGTCATTGTGGCCTTACTTGGTGTATTCGATCAGGTCCAGTAACTCTACTGCCACTCTTGGGGGAACTTACCCCTCACCCCCCCCATTCGACTCCACCCTGCGCCGCGGAGAATGCAGCAACGACTGCGACAGCAGCAGCAGCAGCAGCGGCGGCAGCAGCAGCAGCAGCAGCAGCAAAGCACCAAAGCTCTCACAAGTTTGGCCTCCACAACCCTAGGTTTTGGTTCAGTTTTTGGGGGGTTGCGCAGACGAAATTGAAAGAGCTTCAGGATTCAAGCAACAGCAGCAACCAGCAAGAAGCAGCAGCAGCAACAGCAACAGCCAAACGGCAGCAGCAACCAGCAGGAGCAGCAACCAGCAGCAGCAGTAGCAGCAACCAGCAGCAGCAGCAACAGCAGCAGCAGCAGCGGCAGCAGCAGCAGCAGCAGCAGCCAGCAGCTTTTGCAGCGCAGCAAAGCAGAAAGCAGCAGCAGCAGCAGCAGCAGCAGCAGCAGCAGACATGCTACCTTTCGTCCACCCCCGTCTCCTCAAGTACATTTCATTAGCCAAAATGCCTGGTCATTTTGGCTCAAGATTGCCTTGAAAAGAAATTGCTGTGGCCCACTCTTTGTGTTCATTATTCCATCAGCCATGGCTGGCTCTGGGTCCAATGGTGGTCTTTTCAACTGGGAGCTCCTGGATGAAGCGGAGACGGTGACCTCGGTCACTTTGTCAGGTTCGGAGGAGGAGATCCCAACGCCAATGGAGGCAACAGCGCCGCCGTCGGAGCCCCCTTGTGAGGCAGCGCAAAGCGGAAGGACATGGACTCTCCGAAGACCTCCGGGCGCGAGTGCCTTCTCAGCCTGCCCCGACACCAACCAACCCTCGTCCAGAGGCAGCCACAGCCCTGAAACTCCAATGGGCCTGGCCAAGGTCTCGAATGCTAACTTGATAATCTGGACCAAGACCCCCATGACCCGGGCCTCATCGTCTGCTGAACGTCTTGCCGCGTTGCCTCCGATCCAACAACCTCCACGACAAAGCTCGCCAACGGCTGTGGAGCACTCTTGGAAGCATTCAAAGTCTCCGCCGTCGCCAGAACCCTGGTCGGCCGGTCGGCCTAATGCAATTGGAGCGCGCAACGACCTGGTCCCGTGTGCAATGTGCAAGAGGACTGACTTCTCGGGGATCGAGCCCCGCCCACTGCCAGCCCCGCAAGTGGTGACGCAAGTGCACCATCGGCGGCTGGCTCTTCAATCCAGCTTCAACTGCAACTAGCTGACCATCCCCGGAGCCTTGTTGAAGGTAAGCCCAGGGGCAAACATCCCTGCGCTGGAGATGTTGGGCCTGGAGATGTCGGAGCCTCGTTCCTGATGGCTACCGCCGGCGCGACCATTGTGGGCTGATGAACTGACTCATCCTAACCTGCAGGGCTTCGAGGTTTCTCGGCTGACGAAGTCACACCGTTTGATGCAATGGGTGTTTCCGGAACTTTACTCGCAGCAGCCACCTTCTTAGGACCTTTGGGGCCTCCAAACCTTAGGCGAGGAGGCAACTGCTACTTTGCTTTGGACCGAGGTGTCCAGGCCATATGCTGAAACCCGGTCGGGGAGCGCCTGCTCTACACGATCCTCAAGACCTGTGCTACCCGTGAAAGATCACCCTTTTGGGTGGGCTGCGCTAGTGGCTAACAGGGTGCCATCCCATTCTTTCTCGGCCTTTGGATGACCTTCGAGGTCACAAGCAAAGCCGACCTGCAAAAGTGTGCACTTTTCCGTTGGCTTTTTGGTCTCGGTGTTTGAAGAAACCCTGACATTTTTTCAGGATGTATGTTTGAAAGCAGAAACACTCAGAAACATTAGACATTGGCAGCTGAGGCCTGCGCAAGCTGCCAAAGCTCCTGCAAAGCCTGCTCAACTTCAACCGGCGTTGCCATAGACTAAGTGGAAGTTTGACATGCTGGTAGGTGGCCAGTGTTTTCAAGGGAAGACACAGAGTTTTCAAATTTCATGGGCTCACGCGCAGAAGAACTTGCGACGCCGTGAGGCCGCCGAAAACTTTGCCTGCTCAACGTCAGGAGACACCTCAAGAATTGATCTCACACACATTGCTGAAAACTGAAGACCAGATGTCACTTTAGACGTGATGCAGTGTGTTGCGCCTATGGTTTCGCACTGAGTAGCCGGATTTTGGAAACTGAATGCCGAATGATCGATCCGTATTCTTCACAGAGCAGGCTGAAGACATGAGCCAGTCATCAGCCAGGCTGGTCGCTTGCATGATCGGCGCCAGGGCAGTGGGGATACATTTGGTGAGCTCGTTGTTTGAACCAAATGCTTGAAACATTCTGGCTGCATGGCAAGCAAGCATTGATACAGCGCGAGAGCAGCGCAACAACACGAAAGAGAGAGAGAGAGAGAGAGCGCGAGAGACAGAGACAGAGACAGAGACAGCGACAGAGAGAGAGAGAGAGAGAGAGGGAGAGAGAGAGAGTGAGAGAGAGAGAGAGAGTGCGAGAGCGAGAGCGAGATGTGGAGATGGAGATGGAGATAGAGAATGAAGAGAGAGAAGGAACAAATGTCGTCACGAAAGGTAGCGGTTGTGCTACCTGAGTTTTCCCTTTGCTTTAGCAAGAATGAATTATAACCAGAGTGGAGGCCCATCTCACTGAGAATCGCCTTCCGACATTTCATTTTAGAGGCCTTTGGGGGGCCCCCCCCTTTCAACTCCACCCTGGCGCGGCTCTTTGTCAACGGCTAGAAAACACCGTAAATACCAGTGTTTTCAGCTCCTCCAGTCTGCAAGAGTGGCCTAAAACCACGCAATTTACATGGTTTTCTGTGGCTGTCCGGCCAAGAACCTCGTAAAAACCGATGGTTTTTGAAGTGTCTAGGCTTCAAAAATGGTCGAAAAATGGAAAGATTTTGTCGGAAAGGTTGTTTTCGGCTTTTGGAGGCTTCAAAATGGCTCAAAACGACGGTATTTACACGGGTTTGTGCACCTTCCCGGCACAAAGCCCTGTAAATTGCGATGGTTTTGGGCTATGTACGCTTCAAAGTGGCAACAAAACACCGTAAATACTAGTGTTTTCAGCTCCTCCAGTCTTCAAGAGTGGCCTCAAACCACGCTATTTACAGGTTTTTTTGTGGCGGTTTGGCAGAGAAGCGCATAAAAGCCGATGGTTTTTGAAGTGTCTAGGCTTCAAAAATGGTCGAAAAGTTGCCAAAAACCTGGACAGATTGTGTCGGAAAGGGTTTTTTCGGCTTTTGGAGATTTCAAACTGGCCAAACACGACGGTAGTCTGGAAAGTCCCGGATTACTTGTGATTCCCTGCTACCTTTCGTTCACCCTCTCCTCTCTCAAGTGTTGAATTGAAGCTTGATTCTGCGCCCTCCAGGCCATTGACTGTTCCTGTGCCTAGTTTGGCCCCTGGCTTGTCTGGGGCTTGGCCTTGCTATTGGATCCCATACGCATGTTTCGGTTCTGTATAGTCAAGTGAAGAAACCCCAACAAACCCGGGGTATTCTGCGGTTGGTTATGCCACTGGAGCACGCCAGGAGCTTGAAAGGCAACGATGAGGCCCTTCAGTGATTCAGATCCAATGTTTGCCGCACTTGAGGAATATGGTAGCAGGGTATCAACGAGAAACATGTTTGTTTGTGTCGTTTTGAGAAAAACTTCCACCTGTAGACGGATGGTTTTCAGACAGGTTGGTGACAGTCAAACCCACGATTCCCTTGAGCAGCTCAAGCCTTAGAGGCAATCCTGTGGCAGAGGTACTCGGAATTATGGACCTTTGCCGGGTTTGAGAGTCTGGATACATTTTTTGCTAAGGATGAAATCTGGCCCTCCTGGGTTGCCAGTGCCATTGCTGATGCCTTAGTGCCATTGGCAAAACTCTGTGGAACCAAGAAAAAATGTGTGCACTTACAGTACACACAAATGCTAGAAACCGCTGAGGAACTCGCAAGCGGCAGAAGGTGTAGATGATCCAGGTGCGCAATGAGGACAAGTGTGCAGCTTTCTTGGAAGACGCGTCAAGTGTCAGGTGATCTTATTGGAAGCATTGACATTCAAGAAAGTGGAACGTGGGGAGCCAAGAGATTTTGTGGATTCAAGGTGGATTCCAGATACTTTATTGGCATGCAGCTTCCAGCATCTATAATGTTGATCCAGGAATGGACCGTTGCGGTTCAAGGCAGGTCAAGCCCAATCAGTGTTGCGTTGCAAGCGAATCAAATTATATAGGCTCAAAGCTGCACTCTCATCGCGTGTAGGTTGTGCTTGCAAGAAAGGGTCCTGGACGATTAGGCATTGATGTGGTAGCCTCAAAGTGTAGCTTGGGATTCGTCCATTCATCGGCAACGTGGGACCTGGGAGCCTTCACTTCTATATCAGTCGAACTTGTAAGCTTGCCGCGTAGGGCGTAGGTCAACAGTTAGTTAGTAGTGCTTCTTTCTCCCTGGTGCTGACCCTTCCAGAACGCATGAGAAGAGTGTAAGCACATATGACATGTTGATTAGACAACAAGGAGCACTCCACAGGTCATGCAAAGCCGTTGGATCGGAAAGCGATCGATGAATGAACAGTGCCGATTCTCATTGCAAAGTACGATAGCTGATAGCAATCTGGCAATGTGATGCCAGACTGGTGGTGGTGGGCGTTATTGGGGTGTCATTGATTTGTGAAGGTTGGCCACTTTTCTGAAAGACTTTTTTTCCCGAAATGGCCTAGGTTGTGCTCAAGCGAGAGGCCAACTTCTGTTGCGGCCTCGACTTCTGCGAGCTTTCAGCTTTGGTCGTGCTTCGACCTGTGTTGGGCCACAGTTTGAGTGCCCCTTGGTTCTGCTTCCGTGTGACTGAAACACGACAGAGTGGAAAAGTAATAGATATGCTGAATACAGAGAAATTTGAACACCTGTAAGTTGCCTGCAACCTTTGCGTGGTAATTTGGGTTGAGGCGGCCTCTTAGTGTACAATGTCAGCGAAGGTGGCAGAGCCAGCAAGCTTAGACTGCGATTTGTTAACATCCATACTCGCAAACTCAAGTAAGAACCAGCCAAAATGATTTCTGGGCGTGCAACTTGCTTTTTGGTAAATTTGTGGAGCTCCCATCTTGCTGCTGCGCAATGAGCGCAACTTAGATTTGCCAAGGTGGAGGCCTGGAACGAACAGAGCCAGATGCCCTACCGGGTTTTGCCAGGCTGAATTTGCTTTGAATTACTTTTTTGCCAGTCCTGGAATCTGGAACTAGTTTTTTCGTGTTGGAGGTGACAACATACTGGAGGTCAATGACATCAGTATCAGTTCCTTGGACTGCCATAGCATGCTCAGTCTTGTTAGGCAGCGGCCTCGCATTGGCAGGTGGAGAGAGCAACGCCCAGAACGACAAGTTTGCAGTGAGGACCTGCCAGACGGTCTCCAGATACTATTCATGAATCTCAACATGTCATATACTTTGACCTGGTGTTGTCCTCGGCAAGGCTTTCTCAGAGATTCTCAACACGGTTTGCATATTCCGCCTTTCTATGTAGCAGTGGCTCTCTCATGTTCAGTGAGCATGAAACCAGTCCTACGGGTCGACGCCGACAGGATGATCCAGGAACTGTCCAAAGATCAGAAGAATGTGCATTTCACAGTCTGCCCAAGCAAGTTTGAATTCCTGCCAACTGAAAGTACTGTAAATCAGTTGATGCTGCTCATGCCCTTTAAATGGGTGAAGACGATTAATCACAGCCCCCAAAAGCAAACAAAGTCAACAAGGTCTGAGGTACCATTGATGAGGTCCACTCCGCCTGAATAATCTGCCAAGGAGGGAGTAGGAGGAGGAGTAGTAGTGGTGGAGGTGGTGGTAGTGGTAGTGGTAGTGGTAGTCGTAGTCGTCGTAGTGGTGGTGGTAGTAGGGGTTTGAAATAGAGAAGTAGAAGAAGTATAAGTAGAAGTAGAAGCAGTCCTAGTAGTAGTAGTAGTAGTAGTAGAGGAGGAGGAGAAGGAGGAGTAGTAGTAAGTAGGAGTAGGAGTAGGACCAGTAGTAGGGTTTCCGAAGATAAGAAGCAAAACAGATATTGACATGATTCCTTTTAAATAGGAGGTTTAAAGGAAATCGGTAAGCCTCGAACCCTAGACATTGCCTGGACATTTGCAGCCAGCAGCAAAACAACAATCGTAAGAGAACTGGCAGGCCCATTGACAAGAAATATCAGACAGGCAAAGCCATCGATCAGCAAAGACCTGATTGGTAAGTTCAAACAGAGATTGCTTGCAGCAGAAGTAGATGGGGGTGGCAGCAAGTTGAAAAGTTATTTTCAACTACGGTGAATTTTGAAGGCTGTGTTGGCTGGATCAACTAGGCAAGGTTTATTATATAACCCTGACCTTACATTACACCGCCTAACTTGAATCCCTTGTGGGGGGCAGCATGGTTTGTTGGAGATCTAGCTATTTTGTGTCCCCCGCCAGGTGGAGAGGTCGCAAGGCACCCTTGGTCTTGGTGAAGATCTGGTACTTTCTCAGGATGTTCCTTCCCGAGCTGCTCATAATCGGGTTTTCTCGTGCCAAATATATATGTCCAAAACAGCTCTTTGCGGAGAACCCCTCTTAAGCTCACACTGAGGATGATGAGGATTTGGTACTTGGAGGCGCGGCTTGAGAACAGCAAAGCAGTATCATCCGTGCTTGGGCACAAGATGTCAGAAACACACGAAGAGAGACAAGATGCAACTGACCGTGGTATTGATGTACTTCTTTTGCAAGCCTGGCTGCAAGACTGAATCATATATATATATAATTTGTTGCAATTCCCATCGATTCTTATCATGCCAATCTGGGTTTTGGCCAGCACACAGCACAACAATGGTAAAGCAGGGACGAATTCAGTTCATCTGACAGGTGATGGCCGTCCTTTGCTCGGATCCTCGGTGCTATGCCCGCTCGAAGGTAGATTCTCTCGTTCAGAGCAAAAAACAACTGCCGGAGACTCTCTAAGAACTTATGAGATGGGTTTACATTGTTCATTTGCTGAAGCGATGAACAGGTAACGACGTTGTAGTATTGTAGTTTTCCTATGTTGATGTTTTCGTCCAAGTCCCTCGAATGTCAGCCGTAGTGAGGACGCGTTCGCCTGACTTAGGCACATTCCAAGACCTGTTGGCGCGGATCCCAGCTTCAGTGGCCACATCAGGATGGACCTTGTACTCAGCGGTCTGGTGGGGACTAAAACAATCCAGCCAGGTCATACCAGCTCTTTACATCGCTCACCATTCAAGAAACAATTGTGAACTATACAACCTGCAAAGCAACCTAGGGATCCTACATGCAAAAAAGGGTAGCAATGGACCAAGGACTTGACAAGATGGGGCAGGAGTGTTGCAGAAACATGGCAATGGGCAGCAACACTTGAGCATTTGCATGCTTGATCTACTGAGTGCAGCTTCTCTCCGAAACACATATATCTATATCTATATCTATAGTATACATGGTTTTGTTTCGGGTCTAAAACGAAGCGGGCCTAAACTATTCACCGCAGTGTGTTGGCTTTAGCTTATGAGCACCCTCCGAAGGCTCGGAAGGGGGGTGGCGCGGAACGGTTGCGCGTGCCGCTGTTGCATCTTGCTGCGGAAGATCAACGCTTTTCTCTTATACGAGAGCCCTGGAGATTAGCAAGGTGCGTACTTGTCCACTCTCGAGGTCAGTCACCTGGGGCACTGAGGCCAACACTACAAGGGCCGATCAAGAAGGAGAAGTAAAGGCGCAAAAAAGAAGGAGCGGGCGGGGCCAGGAGTTGTGGAAGAACAAGAAGTTCGGTCCGACGTCTCCCCGACAAGGCGCATTATGAGACCGGCTCACGCCTCACGGAAGAAGAACAGCCATTACCAGGACGCACCGTGGGGAAGAAGCCTTGAAGGGAGCGAAGTGGAAGTCTTCCGAAAAGAGGCAGGGAGAGGGAAAGGCAGGGGAGTGCTTGCAAAGTCTCCTGGAGTGCCTGAGGAGGAACCGGGCGGGGAAGAAGGAAGAGGGCACAGAATCCAGCAATAAGAAGGAGGAGGAGGAAGAAAAAGGTAAGAAGGAGAAAAAGAGAAGGTCAATCCTACCAAGACCCTCGATTTGCTCTTTGATGCAACAGGGCCACGGTAAGGAGACGCCTCGGCGCAAGGCAACGCGCTTGGGGAAGAAGTTGCGTCCCCTTGGAGTGCAGAAACCGCCGCGGAGGAGGTCGAAGCTTTGGAGGAGCTTCTTGCCCTGCTTGGAAGCGCGACGTGCGATGTTACGGTTGGGCGCCCGTGTCACGGAGTCCGAGAAGGGTGGCCTACGCCCAATATTGACGCAATCTTGCAGACAACCTTTGATGACGACTATGTCACCCATCATCGCAAGGAGGCCCTTCACTGGGGGCCTCCGCGATGGTAGAAGGTTGTGGAGCCAGCTGGATGGACATTATGAGCCAAAGGTTGAAGGGCCCAGAGGACCTTTCGTGCTCTATGAGACCGGACTTGCTGATGCTACTATATATAGAGCATCGCCTTCGTACTGAGGAGATCTTTTTGACTCCCCGGGGTCAACTGCACTTAGCAGGGCAAGCGGCCCATCAAGAAGCCAGGGTGACACAGAGAGCGACCGCCTGGAACAGCGACAACAGAGGTACCAGGAGAAGAAAGAGAAAGTGAAAGTGTTGAAGGTGCAAATCGGTCCACGGTTCTTCAAGCAACGGCAAGAATGGTTGAGCTTGTCGTGCTAAATCATATGTGGGGGGGAACGGCAGGGCGATTGGTGTTTTGAGCAGACCAGGGTTATGAGCGGGCTTAGTGTGAAACAAGTTGCTGTGGGCAAAGGGGAGTACAAGAATGGTATGATGAACCTGATGCGCGCTTTCTCTGCAAGCGGGAAAAGCAAGACTTTTACCCAGTGAAGACATGTGCCGTTTCTTCTACCTGTTATTGCGGACCAATGGAAGGGATACATGCGATTCAACAAAGTGGCCCCCGTTCATTTCATGCTTGAAAAATTGGCTGGAAAGTCGTGCGTGCTGGTGTCGCGTGTCCTACCCACAGGGATGGCAGGTGGGCGAGGTCCTAGGCGTTTGATCTGCATCGCGGGTACAGTCAAACCGATTCTACAAATCCCAAGAATTGCCGCGCCAGCCAAAGAAAGCAGCTGAGCGTGTATTACTGGCGAGAGAGCTGCAAGGGGCGCGTGGTTTTTCCACGCCGAAGCCCGGCCCCAAAGGTAGTCCAGTATCGCAAACCCGGTTTTGGGGGGAGTCTCCGGATTGCCAGGTGGTATGCGGTGGCTTTGTGATTTTTTATGTTCCGAAGGCCGTTGCTTGGGTGTCTTAACCGCGTCTTTGAATAACTATACGTGACAGTTTGAGGGTGAAGCGCCGGTACCTAGGTTGCCCCTGTGTCAAAGTGGAGATTGCAAGGTTTATCCTGTTGAGCCCGTTAGGAACGTTGAGCCCCCCCTTGATGGAGAAGCAACTTGTTCGGACGCGTCCACACTGGGCGGAGGTTTGTGTGCATCAAAGGGTTTGACCAGCTACGGCGTGAGTGCTGTGAACTGGGTTGCTGGGAGCACGACTTGGTACAGGCCTGGGGCTTTGGTGGCATTGGCGCTCTACGCGTTGCGTGTGATGTGTCAGGGTTGTGAACGGCAGGCCGCGCTCACATGTGACCAGGCTGGAAGAACAAGATGCCCAGGCGTTTTTTCGTGGGTGGAGCTTGCGTGAGGGATGTCGCCTTCCTACACCTGGTACGCAGGATTTGACAAATGGATGTTGAGTCGAAAGTTGGTATAGGCTCCCGCTTTGTGCAGTGGAGCAGGCGTGGCGCCAACCAACAGCGCAACAAAGCGAAGCCTGTCAACTGCGCTCGACAATGTATCGCAAAGGGTGAACGCAGAAAGGGGAGTTGTTTGAAGATGCATGCGTGACACTAGTGGGCAATTCCTGGCTGCCTTTCCGTCAGATTCCAATTAGGCTCGGGTTTGCGCGGCCTATGACAGTTCAGGACATCGTTGACTACAAGCTAGCTAGAGGCTTCTGCTCCATGTTGACGCGACCTCCCCACAGGAAGTTCACACCAGTTCTGATCCTGCTGACTCCGGGCCAGCGCAGGCAGACTTTGGCGCTGGAGAGAAATTTCAGGTTGGAGATGGAAGTGTCCCGATGTGTTTCATCGACCACCATCATGCAGCTGAACGCTTTGTTGCTTGCGGCTGACCTCCGCACCTTGTGGGGTCACATACGCACGTCGCAAAACCCGGCGGACAGGCCTAGCCGGTGGCCGGTTTACAAACGACGGGCAACGTAGGCCAAATGTTTCTAGAGGGTCAGACGAAGCAGAGCTTCAAAGGGTTTGACAGTTTCTCCCAAAATGAATTAGAGATACACTGAGGCCCGACAGCGGTTTTGTCATTTCCTCCACTGCAATGATTTGGCCAACCCAACTCAAACCAGGAAAGGTCGAGCCCCTATGGCCTTGAGACAGGTCTACGAAGTAAGAACGAATAGGCCTGGTGAAAGACCTACCGTGAATTGCATTTCCCTTGTTTTAACTTTTTGTGACTAGCTGTGGAGCGTTGTGAAAAGTAAGGGCCGTGTACCTATATCAGTCTATACATATATACGTATAAATGTGTTTGTTTCACTGTCTCGGATGAAAGTGTGGAACTTGGACTCAACTCTCCGTTTGTGCGGTCTTCCAAGCGCCAGCTAACTTGCAGGATGACTTGCCAGCAGGCCTAGCGCATTCGGAATGTTGACTTGCAGCGGCTCGCGAGATGATGCGTGGTAGAACGTTTCATGCCTGTATATCCTGATGTTTTCTGACGTGTGGCAGGTCTGGCAAAGTCAGCTCAGCTTCTTGGGTTGCAAATTCACTGCTTTTGTCCTGCAATTCTTGCACGTCGCCAACCAGCAACACAAGCCAAGGATGAAGGCAATGCCGGCAACGCCCAATGTTCCAATCCCAATGCAAAGGCCGGAACAACATGGGCACGATCTTCTCCAGGAACATTTTCATTTCTTTCAGTGCTTCAGAGTTGGTTTGGCGAGGTGGGAGCGAAAGGCAGGAGCACCTTTGCCTCCTGGTGCAGGCCGCAGCATCTACCAGCTCAGATTGCGGTGCGTTTTTCAGTGTTTGTTGTTTTGCATCTTCTAGGGGTACAAGCAGGACAGAGAGTAGATGACTCCTTCCCAGATGGAGAAGCTGATGGTTTTGAAGGCGAGGATTGGGGAACTCGATGTTGTAAGATCTTCAGCTTCAGCAAAATCAGGTGATGGCGCAGAATTTCTCAAAGAGGAGGAAACTGCGGCACCGCCTACGGAGGAACATTCTTTGCATGATCAGTGATAAGACTTCTGATAAGATAAGACTGATTTCAGAATGATTGAACCACGATGCTTTTGCAAGGAGACTAAGCATGCGAAGGAGGAGAAACCCAAAGCAAAGTCTGAGGAGGACCTCAAGGCACAACAGAAGACCAAGTCATAATTCTGAGTTCGCGCAAAAGGCACACAGGAAGATGCCTTGACTTGAGTTTGCATGAGTGCAGATGTCTACCGCAAGAGAGATAAGACCAATTCCAGAATGATTGAACTATGATGTTTTTGCAAATAGACCAAGGATGCGAAGGAGGAGAAACCGAAAGCAAAGTCTGATGAGGAGGACCTCAAGGCACAACAGAAGACCAAGTCATAAATCTGAGTTCGCACAAAGAAGCGCACAGAAAGATGCTTTGACTTGAGTTTGCATGAGTGCAGATGTCTAACATTATACTTTACCATGATGCTTTTGCAAGGAGACCAAGGATGCGAAGGAGGAGAAACCCAAAGCAAAGTCTGAGGAGGACCCCAAGGCACAACAGAAGACCAAACCCAAAGCAAAGTCTGAGGAGGACCTCATGGCACAACAGAAGACCAAATTATAATTCTGAGTCGCACAAAAGGCACATAGGAAGATGCCATGACTTGAGTTTGCATGAGTGCAGATGTCTACCATTATACTTTACCATGCTGCTTTTGCAAGGAGACCAAGGATGCGAAGGAGGAGAAACCCAAAGCAATGTCTGAGGAGGACCCCAAGGCACAACAGAAGACCAAGTCATAATTCTGAGTTTGCGCAAAAGGCACACAGGAAGATGCCTTGACTTGAGTTTGCATGAGCAGATGTCTACCATTATACTTATAATATATATATATATAATAATATATACATATATGTGTGTGTACAGTTGCTTCAAACTAGGAGAAGACTCGCGCAAATGTTAATGCTTGATTCAGCGCTTGGCATGAAACCCGGTGATGTTGCCAAGGCCAAGGCTGAACCAAAGGACTGCTGTTTGAACCGTGTTCCTAAGAGAGATTATATGTACAGTTATGTGTATGTACATATACATTTCTTAGGGCAACAGATTCATAGCTGTTCGGAATCAAAATGCACAGGCCTTCCAAAAATCATATAACAAAAGATCATCAATAGAATATAAAGGTCCAATGGCCTAAAACCAGGAAAGGACAACACGCATGTATGTTCTAGCATTTTAAGTTCTTGCTCCTCATTCACTTGTTGCAGGAGGCTGAGGCTAAGCTGAGTTTGCCTGCACCACCCAGTGGCCCGGCGCCTCCACCCCCGGAAGCGCAAGCACCCAAGGCCGGGAAGAAGCATGCAAAAGGTGTTCATTTCGAGCGCAGCATGCTCAAAAAGAATGAAGACCTCTTTCAATGCAAGAACTCCACCATATTGAGAGAAACACCATGCGTTTTGGATGGCATTGCCCCTTACTAGCAGCAAGAAGGCTTTTCATTTTCCATTTTTTTTATCTTGAATCCACTTGAAACTGAGAGGCCAAAGGCCAAGGATGAATCCGCCCGGGAGGACTTGTTGATGAATAGTCGTTGTGTGACGTGACAGTTATTTTCCAGAATGCAGCGGCGATACAGGTAAAGACATGGTCACAGCCTCCACATGAGCACAATTTAAGCCGGACAGTTTGATAAAGATCTCAGCACAGGAGCCCTGTACCCAGCCTCACTTTGAATGGAGACTGGCCCAAGAGGCTCTGATGAGTAGGACCCGCAAACAGCTGTCACAATAAGCGCCAGTCAAAAGTGATATTAGTTGACCTACGCAGCTTGCCACTAATCAAACTGGTGCCATTCTGCTTTCTAGTGACTGAAGGCTGCAAGATTTGTCTTACATCCATGCGTTTCAATCACCATACCTGGATCCAAAGATCTGGGTGTTGAAATGTATAATGCCGTCGGTCAAGCTCTGGATCAGATCAACTCCGTTGACATGAGCACAACTAAATTGGTTGGATTTGACATTTGGGATACTGAGGAGTGTAGGTTTAGGGTTGGTCATAGAGCAAATTCAGTCCTTTGGCCGTCCCGCACCCCCCGTCCCCCACACAATCTCATCGAAATTGAAGATTGTGTTAATATGTTTATTCTCTTTAACGACAGGCAACCTTGTGCCACCCCAGAGCAATTGACGAACTGACGGTGGCAGCGTGCATTGGCTACAGTATTTTTGAGAAAAGATGTGCTGCGTCAATATTTGCTGAAGCGTTCAGATGAAGCTTGACAGTCTGACATAGCTTAGGACCTTTCAATTGTCCTCGTTCGCTGATGAGACTCTGAGGGGGGAGAGAGAAAGAGAAAGAGAAAGAGAAAGAAAAAGACGGAGAGAGAGAGAATGATGAAAGAGAGAACGGATATGGGAATCGGATTTCGATCAACAAGCCTGCGGAGTTTCCTGTTCTCATAAAGATGCAGGCGGTGATCATCTCTTGCGGTGCTCCAGACTCTTTCGAGGTTTATGAGGCCACTTTAGCTATGCCCTGATTTTTGCTCGTACTGGGTGTTTTGCCTGAACAGTTTGATGGATTTTGGAAGCACATACCAAATTCGATCGGGTTCACTCGAAAATTAGGCCTACTAGAAGCAACTGCTTCGTCCACAAGCCTTTGTGACATGCCGAAAGACACGGAGCCTGGTTAGTTCTCCACGACGGTTTGGGAGGTCTGCTTCGAGAGCCTCACAAAGATTGGTTTCAGCTTGCCCGGCATTGCCAGCAAGGACCCATGATCAATCGACTCTTTTGTCATGTTCACGTTCCTGGTTTCATGAACACATTCTACCTGAGTCAACTGCTGCAAAGGAGCTTCTTCTAAAGTTGCTAGAGGAGGTGCACGAGGTATGGTCAGGGCAATTGTGACACCAGCATGAGCAGGAATGCTTCGAGCACGGGTTTTGAACGATGTTGGACTCAAGCACACCATGCGCTACTGGAGCGATGCAGTGCAGGTCTATGACGTACTACTTTCCTGCGTGGAGACATACGAGTGGGCCAGAATCTGAGCATGACAGCAAAACAAGCATGTAGAGACCATGGTCAAGTCAAATACTTAATTTCCAGGCATCATCAGCAATACGTCTTCAATCCTTTCAGTATAGGATAATTTCAAGTTTTGATGCTCCCAAGTACTCCCAAGGTTAAAAGTATAGGCTTGAATTGTTGCAGAGGTTCAAGCAACCTTCAAAAGATCTTATGTATATATATATACTACTAACATCTAGTAACAAAGGGCATCGCTACTAGAGCAAGAAGCTACTAGTAGCTCCTGGCTTTACTACTAGGAGCAAGAAGCTACTAGTAACAAAGGGCATCGCTACTAATTTAACAAACTCCAGTGTGTTTTTCTCTGAGATGTGCGGAGGTCCAGCCAGGGGCCACGGGCCTCCTCCGTCTTTGGATGCTCCAGGCACTGCACTCAGTGCTCTTTCCATTTTGTACTTTTCACACATCCGAAGGAGTCAAGACATTCAGGAGCGTCGAGACTCGACTGGATTGATTGACAACTGGAACTAACTTTTGCTTCACAAGAGCTCAGTAGATTGGTCGGAGACAAACTGTTTTGGACGATCCATCCTATCATGCTGGTCGTTCCAGCCTTTGACAATGCCTGCTTGGTCATTTTGCTTGACACCTGACATGTGGCCTTTCTCACTAGCATTCATCGCTCCAATTGCAAATCCGCGCATTTCGCGCTGCTCTTAGATTACTGCTGGATTAGCTGACTTGAACAGCTTGGCCAGACATTGTATCTACAGATTTCTGCAGGTTGCTCACATGGCTTCGGGCCGACAAGTGGTTGTTCTGGAGTGCCCCGGACTGATTGTTCGTAGAGCCGCTTCCATGAGTTTTGGGTGAGGTATGATCAGCTGACCAACGGTGCAGACCTAGGAAAGCAGCTCCTGGAGGCAGACACCGTGCATGTGTGTTTCTCCACTTTTACAATACATTCGGACTGCACTCAGAGCTTGATAGATTGATGCTTGCATTTGAGGCCTGGGGCCCTGGCAGCCTGGGCGTTGTAGCAGTCCGCGGCATACCCGGCTGGGAGGACTGATCTACGCTGAGCAACCTTTCATCCGATTGCGCGTATGTGCGAGCCTGCGAAGGACCTATACCGGCCAGTGCTCAAGTTGCCTCCTTGGATTTAGAAAGACAAAGGTGAGTGCCACTGAGAAAGGTCAAAGACTACTTGCTGTGCTTGACGATTCTTGAGGTTGTCACACACCTTAGCACACTTGCCGCCAGACAGCTTGAAAGCATTAGAAGATGAGGCCAGAGAACAATGATGGCATACAAAAAGTAAGTATAGTATAGTATACACTGCCCAATGTGCGCAACATCGTGCTCATTTAAAAAGTCAGTCTTCTCACTTCTCTCACATTGGAGCTAAAGATTTGCAGCAGAAATCCTTTGCACGGTCTCGTTGAAACAGAAGATTTGGTTGCAGTCAACGCTGTCACCAGCCATTCCAGCAGCTTGTTGATTAGGTAATTATTCGAATACAATGATATGCTGCAAACGTATGTAGTTACGTCCCCAAAGAATCTAGGAACCAAATCAATAAGCCTGAGCCCTTCTGCGTCCAAGCCTAAGAAGCTATTTAAGCTTAGTAGCTGCTCGCCTCTTACTTACTTAGCTACTACTTGTTAGCCCACCCTAGCGACCTACCCCTTTGCGCGGTGATTTTTCATGGCCACTTGTGTCATGATGGGGTGCTTGCCCGAGTTTCGTGCGCTCGCGGAGGCCTCCATGTACAATGCTGGTTGGCACAAGACCCAGTAGAGATTTGCTTGACACTGGCCATTTCTTTTTTGCTCGCAACAGTCAGCACTGTAATGTGAGCAACAGTATGGTCCTGGACGGTGTAGCAAGAAGCTACTAGGTGGAGGCCATCGCTATTAGGTTGGAGGCCATCGCTACCAGCAACTATTCTCATCAGTAGAGCAATTTGTTGAGGTCGCATGGAAAGGAGAAGCTGGGTGACAAGCCTGACTTCGCCAAGGGCTCGCCCTATGCCAAGAACTGCAGGATCCAAGTAAACTGTTTCCATTCGCAACTTCGCCGAGGGCAAAATTGCTAAGTGTGCCAGAGCCAAGGTTTTACTTCAATCCGTTGTCGGATACTCCAGGCACAGAGGCCAGCTGAAGCGAATAGGCCCTATAGGCACCAGGCACTGAATCAGCCGCACGAATTCTAAACCCAGGACGACATGGCCAAATTTCCCTGGGCGTTGCCCAAGAATCGATGGCCCAAGGAGCTTTCAGGTGTTTGCTGTGGCAAGCAATGCTTAATATAGCTGCTAGGAGATCCCTGAGCTGGAGAGGAAATGCAAGGATCTGGGCAAGGTGATGCAAGAGGCCCGAAGCTTTTGATACTTGCAAAGTGTATTTTGGATGTGTAGCTATTCGGAGTGTTTGATTGCCTTGTTGCAGATATTCACACCGCTTCGCGGTCGAAGCCGCCCGCACGGATCGGAGCCGGGAAATTGGTCAATGTAGCTGTAGCAGGGGTGGTATGTATAGACGGGTGCATCAACCAAAAACTTTTGGGGTGCCACGAGGAGGATCAAAAAGCACCTTGTGCTCTCCGAGCCGGGAGGAAGCGGAGGCAACCGGGCTCAAGCGTGAAGAAGTGCAGCGTGAGTGAAGGAAATACTGAGGGATGCTTAGTTTAGGAAGCAGCAGCGGTGGGTGCTGGTGTCATGCTGCCTACAAATATCTTTTGCTATCTGGGTCTATGCTGGCATAAGAGGTGCCTGTGTGCGCTTTGGAGCTTGGGTGCCGCTGCAGAGTGATGCAGCAGGGTGCTGCTCCAGGGCTGTGTTCCTTTGTGCGCGCTGGCAAGCCTAGAAGCGCGTAGGGGCTATTGTTCTTCACTTTTGTGAGCACACGAAGAGAATAATCCTTTGGTGACGAGCAGGTGATTCCCTCATCGTGTTTAGTTTTCATATCGTTGCATCAGATTTGCTTTCGACCTGCCTGTGAGGTCATTGGATTCCTCGGGGAGCAGGTTGACCACGTGATGGCCAGCAAGGTGCCCACCAACCACCAGAAAGCAGGGCGCGAACCCATTCCCAGTGTGTGGGTTCGACCTGCTAAACCCACCACAATGTGCATCGCCTCCGCATTGCGATGTTAGTCTTGCAAGGTGAAGACCTACACTGCAAACCTCGGAAAGACCCTCCGTGAGGATCTTAAACGATCTTCGTCACATTGCGCCGCACATCTCTTTTTGCATCCTTTTGCTGACCTGGTTTGGATATGTGAATAGTTTTGATTTGAATGTGGCACTGTCAAGGCGAGACCAACAAGTGCAAGGGCAGACTTCTCTACTACTTTCCTCCTAAGGAGATTGCTGCCAGTAGTCCATGCTTCAGAGAATTTGCTTTATCAGTAGCTGTGGGTTATCATGCCCACTCACTCATTTTGATCCTCGAGTACTAATAGCATTTCAAGCCACAATTGTGTTGTGGTGTGTCCGCGTGTGTTTTGGGCTTCATGTGTGTTGACGTTGGCAGATATTACCCACATCAACACCATTTTGAGGAGACAGTAGCCCCTGGCGGCAACGATGTCTCGGAGGAGCATTCTTTGGGGGACGGCTTTCACTTGATCTCATCAAGTATGGAAGCAACACTGTTGATAAAGGGCCTGGGACTCCAAACAGATTATTGTGCTGAACCCATTTGATCAGGATGGCTGGATTGGCTGGTGCAAGCCTCGGTACAGTAGCAGCTTTGGGAAAGTGATCACTGTAGAAGTACGTTTTAAGATTAAATTGCTGCACGCCCTCTGGATCGATTTTTTTCCTAGGCACAACGACTCCGGTTTCATGACCGGGTTGACGCCGGACCTCTTTGCCGCATTGCAGCACGTGGAGGCGAAGATGCACAAGGACACATCTATTGAAACTGAGGTCGATGATGCAGATGCCATATGCTCAGTGCTCAGAGACTGAGACACTCATTTAGTTATATTCTTTCCTCAGGGCTCAGAGATCGAGAATCCTGATCCAGAAGGTGCCGGGCTATGGATTGTGGACCGAGACGGCGCAGCCAGGACCTTGGAACACCTGGCCGAGTCAAGAGCTGATGTTCTTTTTCTTCAAAGTTGATTGAGAGTTTCTGACACAGTGCCCATAAGGCCGTGCGGGTCAAGATTCCAAAAGACTGCATGGCCATCCAAGTAGGTGAGTGCACACAGGCTGGGCTTGGTTCTTCAAACAATTTTGAAAGCCGAGAAATCATTCCTTTGCACTTTGCACCAGCGAGGTTGTGACTGGTGGCGAATTTGTCGCTACTCCTCATTGTGTGCGTGGTTGCCGGCCACAGTATTGTGCTGGGCGCAAGGCGGGGAAGTCGGGGGCGCTCTTGGACGGATTGCCCAAAGCCAGAGCTGCAGGTCGCCAGGGTGTCCTGCCCTTGTTTTGTGGACACACACCCCACCTTCGAGCTGAGGACGAGTTCTCAGTTTTGTTTAACCAGCCCGAGCAAGATTTGATTGTGCCCCAGACTGGCAGGATCCCCGATGGGTTTTCGAGCGAAGCAATGCTAGCAAAAGGCGAGTCCCTGTCAGGATTGATTTGCCACAATATAGCACTCAAGCCTCTTGGAATCTGCGAACACAGACTTGCTTCAAGTGTTCATCAATTTGTGTTGCAGGCGTATCCTCGAAAGTACCACCACTTGCAGAACGATGGGAGTTTGCATCTCAGAGGGACATGGCCATGGGCTTGAAACCAGTAAATTTGTTTAGCAAGACAGACTTGTTACGCTCCCATATGTTTAGCACCTGGTTGAGCAGATGGCTTATGACAGCTCGTGGTTGAGCGTTGGAGTCGTGAAAGGGGTCGGTTTAAGCATGTCTCAACGCAGCAGGTGCATTCTTGGATTACTTATATAAGTTTCCCTAAAAATCTAGGAATCATTATTGCGAGCGCTTCCTTGCAGAAGTGTGAGCTATCCTGCGTCCTAAGTAGTAGCTACTTAAGCTACTTGCTACCTAGCTAACCTACCTCCCAGCGGCCTACCCCCCGCCCGCCCGGCGGGCTAAAAACAACAAAAATCAGAATGGCCCTTAGCATGTCACGTCGAGGCCTGGTCAGAGCTTTGGCGACTTTTTGGGCGCCACCTTCAAGCGGTACTACGCTGGGGTACCAAGCGAAGAAGGGCCGGAATCGGCCTGAAATGCACAACGATGTCTTTCTTTCAACTTTTTTGCACATTGGTACTTGTACCTTTGTGCTCTTCTGACTTTTGCTGTACCTTCAAGACCTTGCCTTGCCGCTGTCGTTGTTTGCTTCGTGCCCAACTCCGTGTGTTTGGCTGGGCTCTGTCCAGATATTGCCATCTCGTTGATGGCACTGGTTTCATTATGCAATCATTTTTAGGGACATCGAGCTTTAAGCGGATTTGCCCGAGAAAACAGGAAAACCGATGAAAACGAACAGAACCTAGAAAGCCGAGCTGACCTTGGTTTGAAAACAGCGCTGTATTCACGCCTTCACAGTTTTTGTGGCTTTTATGCGTTTTCACGGCTTTCATGTCCTTCGCGGTTTGCGTGTTTTCGTGGTTTGGACCCTTTTCCCTTTGCGAGCCCCTTGGAACCAACTTTGGAAATATAGAGAACCTTTTCACAAAAACTGGTCCTAAGCATTGGCTCATAGAACGAAGCCTATCAGAATCATTATACACATACATGTAGTGACTGTAGTGCTTAGAGCCAAAGTAAAGAGTACAAAAAACCACAGGAGACAGGCATTTTTTCCAATCATTTCTTCTCTGGCTTGTTCACGAGTTGTAGGGTGCTTGATTTTGTCACATGGGTTTGTAATGAAGTGACGGGCATATAATATGAACCTGTCTACTGTCTACTGTACAAATGCTTGAAACTGGTTGTAAGTATTGTTTCTAAGTATGACCTCCCTCTTGGTTGAAGGCCGCGTGGTCCGGCCTTTTCGGAAACATGAGTAGGTTCTAAGTACTGTATGTGTTCCTCACTATCATTCTAGAAAGCTTTGTTGAACCTTGAACACCCCAGCCCTGGCATTGTCCAAAGTTATCACTAGATAGGGAGCGCAGCCCTTGATCATCGTTTTTTCCAACCACTGGATCCACTGGGCGCTTCTTCTGGTGTAGCAGGGTCCGCTTGTTTGTGACATGTGATGTAGGTTTTCCTGGCAAAATCTCATCCGGATGTTGAGCTCCTTCGATTCCTTTCCTAGAAGCACATTCCACTGGTTTTCGAGGTTTTTGTGTTTTCAATTTTTTTATTCGTTTTTGCGCGTTCGCCATTGTCGGGTTTGCGTTTTCATCGTTTTCGCGGTGTTAGTTGTTTTGCAAGTTTTCACGCTGCCATGGTTTTGTGTTTTTCGCGTTGTCACTGCCGGATCCGCGAACATCCGCTTAATGGCAAACGACACGGAAAGGCATTGTCCGATTGATCCATTCGTTTCGTCCAATCCTTGTGTGTTTGTTGGCGCCCGCCCTGCCTAGCCCTTCTCAATGTCTCAGTCCCGCAATCAGGTTAATAAAAGTCAGCTGGACCTTGCACCAAAAGAGGACACGTTGATTTTGTATAGAGTATTCAGCCTATGCAAAGGCATCCGACTGAGCAGGCCCAGGGCAGGCTCTGGAGGAGGTTGAAAACGACGCGGTTGAGAATGTTTGTGTTGTGCGAAGGCCTTTGGACAAACTGATATGCACTGGGGCAACGACTCCAGAGCTTTGCTGCAAGACTTGCTCTAAGGACTGGGCCTTGGGCAAAACTGGCCCGCCTGAGAAGAAAGCACGAACAGCATGACCCAAATGCTCACCTGTTTTGCAGCATCTGATTCACCTAAGGTGAGGGTTAGCCAAAGTATTTTGCTAATTATTTGAATGGGAGGAAGTCTGCTTGAGACCGTTCTGACCATTGTGTTCCATGCATTTGGAGAAAAGGTAGATCGTGCTTTCTTGCCGGGGAGACAACGGAAGATCGCCGCGGCAATAGCCTTGCAGTCGCGCTCTAGAGGAATAGCTTTATACTTTCAATCTGACTCGATTGCGCTGCAAGGTCCTTTTTGCAGTCTTTGGCAACAACTTGACAGGCTGGGGAATGATGTTATTGCAATGGAGATTTTGTGCTTGGTCTTTGGCTTTTGCCTCGAACAGAGAAGCGAGAGACATCCAAACGGGTCTGTACACAAATCTCTGTGTGAGAGTGTTTTGCATAGAAATCATGAGCACATCGTGTAAAAGCGATATAGTGAAAAACCAAAAGCAATATAGGGAACGACCAAATACGGAAAATAGGTTTTGTAAACAGAGGTTTTATAGAAAGATAGAAAGGACAGGTCTGCAGGTATCAGAAAAAGAAGGAAAGGGAAAACAACGAAAATAGAAGACAAAGCTAGACAAAGTCTGGCGACAAAGGTGGCAACGTAATATAATGTAATGTATTTTTATCTCCGTCGGCGAGAACTTCGAATCACCCAGCTATACCCACAGAACTCCAGGTTTGATGCTGATGGAGCTCACAGACAATGATGTTTCAGGCTCACAGATGCAAAACCGCTACTGATCCGCTTTCCACATAATCAGCATATTCTGCCTCCCCTCGCTGCTACATACTCAGTAGATCTCAGCACCAGGTGCCGTCAGCCTCATTTCCTTCCTAGTGCGCTGTGAACAGGTGCGCTCCCGTGCCCTTCACTCCTTGACTACAAACTGCAGTTCGACAGTACTGCATCGATTGAAGGCGCCCTTCGAGATGCAGTCTGCTGCGGGTCAGTGCCTCGTGCAGCTGACAACAGCTGACTCAGTCTTCCTCTCGAAGACACAAGAAGGAGCGGGCTGAGCAGCTAGGTGCAGCTAGGTTTACCAAATGCCATTTTGAGACGAGGATTTTCAACTTGAAGACATTCACAAAACATTTGCATGCACAAACACACACTCTACTTGGTCTCAGGAACCAGGTTCAAGGGCCAAGGTTTCTTTGTGGGGAAACTTGAGCATGGTCTTGTTATCAAGCCACTTCATATTTTGTCCTTTCTTCGTAGTGGGCCTGCTGGTCTACAAAGACCAGACGTTTCATCACTGCTTATATATTTCTTAATCTGGACTGATCTTAAAGCATTCATGGCACCTTGCTGTCAGGCAGTGAGGATTGGCAGAATGAGCAGATCACCAAACTTACCGGCATGCTGAATCGTGGCATCCTCATCTCCTCTGTGGTCTCACCTCCTCATGTTGATGGGAAAAAGAGAGAGAGAGAGTGCTCAGGTCATGTGAACGGGTTAATCAAGGCAAGGCACTAGGCCACAAAGACATATTGTCAAGTAGAATTCAATCGCTTTTCTGCATCAGGGCCTCATCCAGTTCGACATCGTTGAAGCCTTTGGGCGCTGCATTTGTCAACATCAGATGAGCAGCTCTCTCAGACAGTGGTCAATGCCAGTGAGAACTGACTTGCCACGTAAGACGACTTGCTTGAGCCAGCAAGGTGTTTGATGGGTTGTGAGTCCCTGGAGGCCACAGCCGCACCGACATCATAGTGAAGTATTTCCTCACCACAGCACCTTGGCAGGCCTTTACTCAAAGTTGATTCTAGAGTGTGGAGTTTGCCGACTCAGATCCACAACTGCCTACTGTACTGCTCCGAGAACCAGAAAAAGTTACGGTTTTGGCCTCGGACCGTTGCTTTGTGCTCTTAGAAGATTCCACGGATGGCTCAGGCAGCATTTAGCTACTCAGAGCACTATTGTGCAGGCATAGTGAAGCATCACTGAGTGAAGAAACAGTTCACATGTTGGTGCAGTTTTTGGTGCCACCTTTGGCACCTGGTTCTTCCCACGCGGGTCCAGGATATCATGATCCCTTACGTCTACAACATTCTGCCGGCGTTGTATGATAATCCTGCAGTGCTCTCCTGAGAGATCTTCAGCATTCTGCAATTCTTTTTCCAGGTAGGTCGAAGAGCAGATATGTTTGTTTTAAGATACATGACAGACATCGATAGGTTCTACGTTCCTAGTCATGTCATGTGAGGTACCGTGGATGTTGTCGGTGAAGTTGTTTTTTCTTTGTACGACCTTTGCAATGTGTTTCTTCCTGCGTAAATCTGCGCGTCACTTCGCAAGACTGGCATGAAGTAGTGTATTTTTTGATCAATCACAGCTTATTGCTACCCCCAAAACCAGCCACATGGTCCGCAGCATTTTCTACTCCGCCTATGCAACAGTTCCATTACTGTACTGTACTATACTACTAACTGGTCCTTTTCTCCGGGTTTGTTGGGGAAATCTGGCTCTTGTAAACCGATCCTGCGGCCCAGTGTGGTCCTTCGCTCATCGAATGGCAGAACCTCAAGGCTGGTCCATGGTTCGGGACATTGCTAGACATTGTTTTTCTTTTCTTTATTTCCGCAAGGCAACCTTGCAGACCTTTGTAGTCGTTACCTTCAACATTAACGCCGGAGCCTCAACGGTTTCGTGTTTTCTTTTCATTTCCCCCAATTTTTGCCTTCTAGTAACAAGTGCAATGCTACTAGTAACAAGTGCCTTACTAGTAGTAACAATGTTTGTTATTAATTTAATTTAATGGATTACAAGTGCCTTCTGCCTTACTACTAGTAACAGGTGCCAAGCTAGTAGTAACAGGTGCCACGCTAGTAGTAACAGGTGCCTTACTACTAGTAACAGGTGCCACGCTAGTAGTAACAGGTGCCACGCTAGTAGTAACAGGTGCC